TTACAAATAAGATTTTTTAGATTACCCAAACGGAAAAGGCTTGTAGAGAAACATACGAAAAAACCATTGCCCTTGAACAAATGTTAAAATCTCCAAGAATACCATTAACGCAAGCAAATGGAAATAAAGACAGATTTATTAGAGATGAGGAAGTTATTGAAAGAATAATGAAACTCAATTGGCACTTTTAAGAACACACAACAAGCAGCAGTTTATGATAGCTGTTATATTAATATTTATCATTTTTCTAGCATATATGTTGTATGTCCTTTTTACAAATGAGAATGTCTCAGATTCAGATAAGTAAGATGTCCTTCCAATGTATAAGGTGTACAGGGTATGGCGAGAATGTTTTTTAAGCACTGTATGTAGGACTGAAGGACTTGATATAAATGCATGATAAGAGTCCAAAATGTCCAGTAATTTGTAAATGAGGCTATGAGAGCAAGAGTGGCTAATTCCAAATTTTGAATAGAGGATTTACATGAACCAAGAATATACGGTTTTTATGAAATTTTATAAAATTAAAATATGATGCCAAAAGGTAGTTATTGTTTACAAATCATTAACTAATAACAATAAACTCGAAGATCTTACAGTATATTTAATAAAAATTTACGCTTTTTTGTGGATTAAACCGCTTTTGCATCAGTGTGCCCTTAAAAATTTTAATAGGAATGTGGATTAGACCTAGAGTACAATACAATTAAACAATATCAATTTTGAAAATATGCTTTATTAACAAAACAAAGTAACAAAAATACTTAATCTTCATCATTAATGAATTCTTCTTGCTGTATAGTGGATCTTATTGTTCTGATGCTTGTGTAAAATCCATGATGTATTGGAGGTATAAATGAAAGTAATTCCAAAAGATCTTTTTTTTGCTTTGGTTATTGGACGTCCATACGGATAAAGATAATCTAGCTGAAGTATTTCCCTATAAGTCCTCTTTTTGACATCTAGTGAGTAAAAGAGAACATCTGCATTATTGCTGTATTTGAGGTAAATTGTTAATGGATTTGTTTTCTTGTATAGCAACCGCCGAATCTGTAACTATTAGACCTTTTTTTTCTAATTTCTTAGTAGAATAAAAATCGTTTTCTATCATCTTTATTACCGTAAAATGTGCTTTCTTTCGTGCATGTGCTATTACCTTTATCCATCATCAGGTACTTAGATATCTTCAAAAAAATTTTTTGCTTACTCATTACTCCGAAATCTTGTTCACAGGTAAGGTACACTTCATCTAATTTATATAACGATGCACGTCATCGGCGTCATAGCCTGTGACGTCATATAATACCAACACGAAATATTTAGGGTTTAGGTGTGTTCTTTTAGAATCACTTTACCGAGTACACTGCATTACAGCCACTAGGCATATTTTGTTATATACGCGTAGAAATAATATTTAAAAATTTCTATTAATGTTAACTTAAAGAAATACACAATAATATGTTTCATTTAATTTGTATAAATCCATTATAAAGAGTTTTTATCAAGAACATTTGTTCGGAACACACTGTAACTGTAATCGAACAAAGGTAAAATTTGGCATAAATTGGTAGCACTTATCTGACAGTTGCGGTGTTGACACTTTTGTACTTTATTATTTTGAATTTAAAGTGAATACGTCTTGTTTTATATTTTTACCTATTTAATAAAATCTGTTCTTTTTAGAACAAAATTAGTGTGTTTTATTTCAAAAATGTCACGTAAGAAGTTAAATAGTCGTTGTAAAAGAGATGGTAATACTTTTGCAATAATTATGTGACCTATTTGATTTAAAATGGAGTCAGATTTTTTTTTATACTTTGGGCAACTATGTCAACTTCGATCTCTACGTAGATAATGACGTAAGTCGTTATCTAAATTAGATGAGTATAGAATGTCCGCTGACTAAAAACTTATGATCAATATTTTCCACCACAATATCAGGATGTGACAACAATAGACAGCCATTTTAATGTTATGGTTCTGCCCTCCGCATTGATCGGAATATAGTATTACATTTTTTGTTGTAACATTTTAAAATAATGCAGTAAACAGGATCCTATTTCTTACGTCTTCGTAATGCTTGTGTCTCGTTCCAAACAACATATGAGCATTATTAGTAGCCAAATTATGGACTCCTAAGACGTAAGTCCACAACTGGCATTTATAGTAAGAAATTCCAGTACTGATAACTGGTGTGGCAACGTTCGCATCAAGTCATGCGAACTATTGTTTCATATCCATACCTCATCTAGCATGGTCTGCTTTTCGTTGGTGAACCTCTAGTGTTACTTTGAAATTCACGTTTTTATTCTTGAACCGTTGAGAAGTTTATTTTATTGTTATACAAATCACATTTTTTGCATGAATCCCTAGGTAGGTACTGTGTACCATAGCGCATCTCCAAGTGCAAAGAGGATATGATTAAAAAGAAAGAGACTGCACTACACAGTCTAATTTTTACCTTAACACAAACATCTATTCACTGGAAGGTTAGATTGTGTGATATGTACCCTTGATTAGCAGTTAAAAATAGGTATATCCTACAAAGAGGATTGTTAGCCCACTCTTGCATTCTTTTACGTATTTATGTATTGAACAATTTTGGTCTATTCCACAACTTCGTGGGTTAGCCCATTCGTGTTTTCAAATTTTTGTTATTTTCTATAATGCAAAATCACCTTACTGGAGAGATTTATGTTTATAATATACGGAAATGTTGGTTAGACCGGTTTTGCTTTAAAACTTTAGGTCATTAAAAGTGATTGCAATCTGTAACTCAATTATCAACAAAATTTTGGTTAGCCCACTTCTTGCTCTCATAGCCTCGAATCATATATCTCAAAGAAAATGATGAAAAAATATACAATTTTGGAATATTAAGATAAAAGTGTTAAACAAAATGCTTATTAGGAGGTAGGTTCAGCTAAAATAATACATTGTTACCAAATTCAACATGTAATTTCATTAGCTACACCAGTGCTTAATATTTAATATATGAATATGTATCTATCTACTTCTTTAATTTAATAAGGTAATTTAGTAATAGTTAATTTAATGTGCAAATTCTAAAATAGAATCACTTTAAGAAGTCAATATTTCTCTCCATAACAGTTATTTAAAGCCTAATAGCTTTAAAAAAGTCAATGCAAATTAAGAAGTGCTTATATACATATTCAAATTGTTAAACATTCCATGCCCAGATATTATTGAAGCATTTCATGTCAGATATATGTCAGGTGTCTCCCCAACAATAACTATAATAAATGTTTTGGATGTTACATGTTTGTTCATGTAGAAAGAATAAGAAAGACATACCATTTATAATTGTACCACTATATTTTAGAGCTATTTATCCCGTGCCCTCCCATACTCCACACTGTAAGCGTAATGCAAGAAATTATAATGTGAAATATGTGTTCAAATGTCATAGTTGTATGTTTGTAAATGAAGTTACTTTTTGAGATGAATGTATTCAAAAGATATCAAAATATTTTGCTATAACTGTAAAAAATACTTACAGTTTTTTACAGCAGTGTTGCCAAATTTCGAAACCTAAGTATTTTCTGGACCTTCCACACTTCATTCCATTTAGTGTTTTATCTTCCAAATAATCATTATTGATAAGATGAGAAGTTATTGTGTGTTGTTATTTTTTCTTCTAACAAATATTTGAACATTCCTTATAATTTTTTAACTGTAGGAATACTTTGAACTCAATTATTTTGATTTCAACTAAGTAGGTAGCAAATCACAACTATCTTAAATATACACCTGTTTTTGTGATAGCCATGTGATGAAATACCATTTTTGATATGTCATGTATTTTAATTATAAATCAGTATTTATATATACACATTGTTTGGTTTTAAAATATTTTGTTAACTTTTAAATAAATATTTTTTCATGGAAAGTTCTATTGTTTTTATTTATTTTAAGTGTTGCAGTATCGCAACGATATATAAACATTTATATAATATATACAGACTTTGTGGTAGTTTTGATTCTCCCCGTATTCCAAGATTACAGCTCGTACAAATGATACAGACGGGTGTTTGAGATAAGAATGAGATAACAGACAAGTTACATATGCCATATGAGACAGGTGTGCATTTGGGTTAAGAGTACCTGACACTTCGGTTCGGTATTGTGACCGGGACATCGTTAAATACAGTTACTATATAGTCGTCGGGAAAAACCTACGCTTGACAGTTGGTTTTTTAATTGCATTTGTCAACTAACACAGACACCTCCAACACACTGGGGTTATTAAACACACCTCTATATAGGAAGGGTGAACGAGAAGACGAACATCTCTACAAGATATGCTTCATTCTTCATTGTCTTATTCAAAGTATTCAGTGGTTTAGATGAATGACCTCTTTTCACGCACAGAAAGAAGCCAAGATAAGTACCACACACTGTGGAAATGGAAAAGTACTATAAACTTGGAATGTTTAGGCAGAGATTTTCTTTGGTTTAAGGCGTGTATAATAGACAACACTTAAAACAACCTTATGATTTAATAAATATTGACTGGTACAGGAACTGAGATTTATAGTACTCCTTTTATTATAAAAGGGTAGTTTTTAAATTATAGTAGAGTAGTATTCTATTCACTGGGCATTACGGCTTACAAGAATAACAAAATACAATCGGGAAGTGGATGCTCTACTTTCATAGTCTAAGCTTCAATGTCATTAACAGAAAAAGAAGAAGGTGTCAGTTAGGTTATGTTTGGAAGTAAAGTTACGCCGCTATAACGTTCTGCTTTTAAATTCATTAGGACATTTTTACAAACTAGAAAAAATGAAACTCGTAAGGTTAGTTTAATTTTCTACGTAGCTTTAAACTTTATGTAGTTTATGTTTAATTACGGCTTTTCTCGGTACTTACTTCTATATTTTTAGGTTTCTTATGAAGCTCAGTCATGAAACTGTAACCATGGAGTTGAAAAAAACGGCACTCAAATCCACGGTACAATTACAGGCGTAGATGTAGCAATGAATACGCATCTCAAGGCAGTAAAACTTACAGTAAAAAATCGCACTGCCGTTACATTAGACACTTTAACTGTTAGAGGAAATAATGTCAGGTATTACATACTTCCAGACAGTTTACCTCTCGAAACGCTTTTGATCGACGACACACCTAAAGCGAAGGCCAAGAAGAAGGAAACCGCACGAGGAGCTGCAAGAGGTAGAGGTAGAGGCCGCGGTAGGGGAGGTCCTCGAGGAAGAGGTAGAGGCAGAGGACGTAGATAAGATCCTAATGAAACATTTTGAGATATTTTTTATTTTTATAAGAACTTTTGACCTATTTAAATAATTCATCCAACAAAACTAGCATAACAAACTTTATAAAATAATTCAAATCTGGATACTCTAAAATTCGGAGTGTTAGAATGCAACTTTTATTTGTATATCATTGGAAATTTCTTATTTGTATATGTTAGCACTAAACTAAATGCACATTAGTTTACAGTAGAAAAGAAGATCTTTGTTAAACCTATATATGTCATAAAATAAGTTCAATTAGATTTCTTTTGTTTTAGCCGACTGTTTTTTACTTGTACTTGGTTCATATTATTTAAGTAGCATTCCAGTCAAGCACTGAAATGCCCCTGAATAATATGAATCAGCACTGGAATGTACCATTCCATTGATCAATCTAGTCCAGTTCATGGGAATGGCAGTCTACTTTTCATTCCAGTTCAATCATTGCAGTTCCACTGGAATAGTGTGAATGGCCAATCTAGTGCACTTGTTGGACTGGTCATAAAAGCATTGTAGCTATAGTTTTACCAATATTACAGTTCTTAAATGATAAATAATGTGAACAATATGATCTAGTCCAGCACAGAACTGGATTGTTTAGCTGGATTACTAGACTGGAATAATGTGGACTGACCATTAGCTTTAATATCGATAAAGTACAACAAAAACAATGATATTTTCTTATACTAGTTTCTGAATGTATTAGTTTAGACTTTTGTGCATTCAGTGGACAGTGTAATGCTAAAGAAGCGTTTTTGTTTTGGTAAATTAGTTTTTTTAATGTTTATTTACATATTAACATCCTTATTTTGAAAAATGTTTGTACTGATACTATTCCTTATCATTGTTTGACTGTCTCATTTTATATATAAAGTTTTATCTAAATCTTTTCTGATTTGATATTACAGCATGTTAAATACAGAAGTCAATATTTTAAATGTTTTGAAATAGCAATAATATATAAGTTGAAAGTGCATACATGCACCATATTTTTCTGTTGAAAGTTTGTCTCGAAACATGTTTTACATCAATACTTTCTACTTGAATTTAACAGTGTAGTGTCTCCAACATTGATTATAGAACATGTTGGGACATGTTAAAATCAATTTTTGATGGATATTAAGTAATGACATCTACGCTACTCACCAAAAAATATCTAACAAAGTGAGGCAGAAATGTTGTATGGGATATGTGTCAGTTTTGTCAAACAATCATTTTTTTTGTGCTATGAAAATACTTAATTTAGGTACTACAAGTACGCAAAGGTATGTTGCATATTTGGAAATATTAATAGTTTGATATAAAGAATAACAGTCAGAATGTAATTAAGTTTGTATGGAAAATATATCAAAACATTGTACTTGATGTGGAATGAGAATAAAACCATTTGTAAGTGCATGTATTTTATTCATTCTTTAATTTTTTTCTAGGTATTTTAATTGTATTTTAAACTAGCCGAATTAGAGAAATGTAGGTTCTTGTCTTGAAGTTCCACGTTCATTCGCTGTTTAAGGAAGATGATAAAAGAAGGAATAAAAACTCCCTCATCTGACATAGAAATTACAAATGTGCTGAGAACTCCTCTCTCTGCAGATACCAAGAGATCCAACTTGCCATCACCTTTGAAAGACTTTGACTGGATGGTCCATAAGTCCAGTTTCATCAACATTGTAAAACCCTATGAGAGGATACAAGTAATGCTTATTGAACATCCAGTTACCCAATCCTTTCCTACTAATTTCATTTCTTTATTAAAACCATGAAGATGTTATTCCATTCAGCCAGTTCGTAAGCAAGGCTTCGCAAACCAGCTACAGTAATTTAAAAAAAAACGTACCTCCATCTCCAATAGATAATTTACCAACTTCTGTTTATTTGTTCGAGAAGCTTTATTGGATGATTGTGGAAGGTATCTTTTGGTTTAACAGACAATAGCATTACATAATATTAGATATGTCGGACAATACAGTCCATCATATTATGCAAGTGACATGAAAGAACCCATATTGGTTCACGGGGACGATGCATGATGCAATATAAAGGTGTTGCTATACCTGATTACACCTCTAGGCCACTCCGACTCAATTTCCCTATCCCTACACCTCCAAGAAGGTGTGACTTAATCACCACGGCGGACCCCTGGCAAACCTGAGCAAACGCCTACCAGATGATTTGGGTTCACGCAAAACCCCAGTGGAAAAGTAAGGGTCATGCGCCGACGAGAAACGAGGATAGTGAAATCGAGTCCTATTCCGAAAACGGGGGTATAGGCATAGTGCTAACAACCGCTATCCTAGAAAAAAACAACCATGTTAACGATTGTTCAATGAAAAGAAATTACGCGGTGGGACTGATCAAACGAAAACGACGACGACTGCGCTGAGAAAAAGGTACAAGATTAGTATAGGCGAATCGCGACAATGGAGCATCCCGATCCCTATACAGATCGGGAGCCCTCCAAAATCTGCTTGGTGAACTGAATAGATATGACATAGATATAACAGCTCTGCAGGAAATGAGATGGACCGGGAGTGGCACCATTGACAAAAGACACCACATTATATTCTATAGTTGCGACGCTAAAGACCACGCACTAGTACTGCTTATTGTAAAAGTTAAACACCTCGTAAGAGACTTTCGTGCTATGAACTCTAGAATGTGCATCCTGAGACTAAGGGGAACATTTTTTAATTATAGCATCCTTAAATGTGCATGCCCCTACAGAGGAAAAGAAGATTCAAAGAAAAATTCTATGAAGAACTAGAAGCTGCATACCATTCATGCCCAAAGAATGACATCAAATTATTTATGGTGATCTCACGCATAAATAGGAAAAGAGCAACATACCTACCAACTAAGGTAAGCACAGCCTTCATGAGGTATCCAATGACAAAAATATTCATAAGGGAACGTGGAATTTCAGAATGCCATGAACGATCATTATTATGACTCTAGACATCACTCAGAGTAATAAACGTATGCAGCAGAAGAGGGCAAATGCAGACTCGGATCACTACCTAGTGGAAAGTAGAATAAGAACCAGAATCTTAAACATTAAAAAAGAAAAGGGATCCAAAATTGAAAAATATGAAATAAAAAACTTAGCAGCACAACAGCAAAAAGGCAAAATACAAAGAATATATAAAAGGAAGGCTAGAAAACAGACAAAAGCAGAGGATAACAGGAAAGGAAGCGTAAACATCTACAAGACTCGACCAAAGAGACCTTGGTCTACAAAAAAGCTCAAATCAACTGAAGGACAGTGGTTCGATGAAGATGTCGTAACATAAACAGAGAGAAAAATAATGCATATCAACCCGACAATAGAACACGAAAAGGCAGAGGAGGAATGTAGAATGCTAAGGAGGGAAGAGAAGAAAATACATCGCAGAAAGAAAAGAGAACTAAACATAAAACAAGAACTCCAAAGAAACGGAAGAACTAAATAAACCATCAGAAACCAGAAAATTCTACCAAAAACTTAACAAAAGTAGAAAAGAATTTAAACCAAGAACAATGAAGTGTCTAGAGACAAAGAAGGAGATAATATAGATAGTAACGTCAACAGAGTGAAATACTACAAAGATGGACAGAATTCTTCAAAGAGAAGTTTTGAAAAAAACGAAGATCCATTAATGATGGACTATATACTGATCAAACGGATATCAAGCAGTTAGACTCATGGCAAATTGACCGTCTCCTATTGAATGCGATACACGAACTAATAGAGAACATATGGAATAATAAACAACTGCCACAAGACTGGAATACCGGAGTAATTATCCCACTACATAAAAAGGGAGATCAGCTTCAATGTAAAAACTACCGGCCAATAACGCTACTAACTGTGGCATATAAAATACTGTCAAATATTGTGTATGACCGATTGAGACCATATGCGGAACAAATAGTTGGGGGATATCAATGTGGTTTCCGCAGGCAGAAGTCCACAATAGATCAGATCTTCTCTTGAGGCAAATCTTGGAAAAGACTATGAATTTAATATAACACACATCATCTTTTCATTGACTTTGAGAGTGCCTATGATAGCATCCATCGAGAATTTCTGATCCATGCACTGAAAGAGTTTAATATTCCAACTCAACTCATTGATATAGTAAAAGAAACACTTAAAGTACAAAGCAAAATTCGAATTCAAAACGAACTAACAGATACAATCCATGTGAGAACGGGCCTACGACAGGGAGATGCCCTATCCTGTATTCTATTCAACATCACATTAGAGAAAATAATTAGGAGTCAAAAGTCAACACCAGAGGAACAATAATAACAAAAAGTGTACAAATATTGGCATTTGCAGATGATGTTGATATCATAGCTAGAAGCGAAAGAGAGATGATAGAAGCATTTAATGCGATAGAAAGAGCGGCACAAAACAGTGGCCTAAACATTAACGAAATAAAAACCAAATACATGAAGGCCAGTAAATCGACAGGCCAAAGAAACCTACAGAATCTGACAATAGGAGACTATAACATCGAAAGCGTGAAAATTTTACATATCTAAGTTCACTAGTTACCGCAGATAACAATGTCAGTGAAGAAGTTAAGAGAAGAATACATATCGCTAATAAAACATATAATGGACTGATTAAACATCTAAGATCTAACAACATCACAAGAAAAACCAAATGCAAAATATACAAGACCCTGATAAAACCGGTCCTTGTATATGGATCAGAGACATGGACACTGTCGAAAAGCGATGAGAACCTATTAGGTACATTTGAACGAAAAATCCTTAGACACATATATAAGGGGGTAAAGGAAAATGACATATGGCGCAGAAGATATAACTTTGAACTATACACAGCATACAATGAACCCGAGATCATAACATCCATAAAGATCGGACGTCTGCGCTGGATGGGCCATGTTGAACGGATGTTGGAGACTGAAACGCCAAAACATATAATGAGGCAAACACCAGTAGGGAGAAGGTCAAAGGGAAGACCCAAACTTAGATAC